TAGGTGCTCACTCCTGAGGACGACGGGGAGCTGGTGACGCTGACGAAGCTCTGTAGCCTGCTGGCGGCGACGCTGGGGAGGGAGGCGATGGGGCGATAGCGGTCGCCTGTGCCGCGGAGGTCTTGGAGAGACATGGCGGGGCGGGGATGGCAGGAGGGGGAGGTCGCAGGAGGGACGCAGGCCTGGAGGACGAGCCGTGGCGGGAGAGGGAGAGGGAGGCGTGGGCGGGAAGGGAGAGGATGTGGCTGGGAGGGTCCTCCGGCAAAATCGAAGGAGGCGAGTTGTCGGTGCGGGCGATAGGCACAGCTCCCGGCGGCGTGCAAAAGAACCTGACGTCAGGTCAGTTCACCCGTCCACCCATTCGATGTCGCGCGATCCCCCGACACCTCCCCGTCCTCCGGTCCGTGCGCCCCTCGCTACGAGCGTACCGTCGCGTAAACTCAGCCGCATTGCGACGGAGCGGCCGCGTGCAGCGGGAGACGCACCGATGGGAGCCGAACTGGGCCCAGCGAGCTTCGCAGGTGGAGCAGAACCAGCATCCCAACTTCGATGTGACGTGTGCTTCCAAACTTGCTCTCTCTTTCCGGAACGAAGATCTGCTGCGCAGATCGGGTACAGGCGCCCGCGATCCTCCGCCTCCCACAGTCTAGACCGCTCGTCCGCCCTGTGTCTGGCCCTTGCAGCCATCGCCCGAACGGCAGCTGCTCGCACACACTGACAGCTTCCAGCCTGCACAAGTATAACACAAACACGAAACTGTCAAATGCACTCGCAGCCGTCGATATACGTTGGCAACAATCTATGCTACACCAGTTCGGAATTGTCTTGAAAACAGAATCTGGTGCCCACCCCAGGAACTGGTGTACCTTCGAGACCCCAGCGGAGAACGCCCTGGCCTCGGCCTCAGGCTTTACTGAGGCAGTGAAGTCAGTTTCAAATGTTTTCCATTCGCGACAGGTCTACAACGCGACAAACTGCCACAGCTGCGACAACTCGACCCCGCATCATCTCGACGCCGTCGTTCCACCGTGACCATCGGACTGCTTCGTGCTACTTGCGAGATCAACGTCGTTCATCTCTCGTATGGTGAGTCCCATACCTATAGAGCACGCGCGCAGCGAGGATTGCGCCAAGTTCGCTTTACTTGCTCTTGGGAGGCTCAGCGCAGCCGCACGCCGGGTAGGTGCAGGAGCCGCCGTTGGCCTGGACGTTCGCGCAGGTAGCCTTGTCCTGTGGTCCCTTTCAGTGCCTGTTTTTTACACGAACATTCGACGCGTGGAATCACTCACAGACATTGCGATTTGCGAGAGGTTGTGGGTTGGCGAGGGGTAAGTGGCTTGTGTAGTCGAGGACTGAGTACTGAGGGCTGACCTACGAGTCCTCAGATCTTATATACACCACGAGAGTCGATGCTACGTTCAGAGATGTACCACGGCATCCTTGTGGAGGTCGTTATGGTCGCAATGCTACTGGCGCACCGTACACCCAATGAGAACGTGAGGCTTGGTCAATCCGGAAGGAACTCCGTCTGGGGTACACGGGTACGTATCCGTGACATGTACGCCTCCTAGGGTTGGTTCGGAACTTGTCTGCGCAGCAGAGCCAAGTATGCCGAAGGTGGTATCCCTTCCCGGCTGGTCTTCCTCGTAGTTGGGACGGATCTGGTGAGTCGTTCGAGGTGCACGAGGGCATACCCAGTTCAAGGCTCGGGGGCAAGTCAGAGCATATCCGCGCCAGGGTGTCTGACCGCCGCGATGATACCCTCGAATGCATGACGAGAAACTGAGTACGGAGCCACGACTTGGTCCGCTGAGGTGTGTTCAGGTTCATCTCCGGCTGGCTTGGACCCACATGCTCACGTACACCATGATCATCAGGCACGGCGGCTCCCTACCAACTCAGTTGGCGCACTGAACGGTTCAGATTGTGTCCCACCAGGCACCATCCACGAACGCGAATCCGGCAGTCGATCTGTTCGAAGGCATCCACTGCAGGCTTCTCAGCATCTACTCACACGATCGTTTGCCGGTCTCTCGCCGTTCAAACTACGAACAACAACACGGCCAAATTCGTTTCGAAGGATTTCCATTCGAGATGCTATGCGTCTACAACACGACCTAAAGCCTCCCGGACCCTTGCGGCCCTCCCTCCACCGCAAAGTTGCGCTGTCCACCCGCCTCCGGTTAGTCTCAGTAGGACAAACACGGAATGCAGGAGAACATACCCATAGTGCGCATCGACTCGGGCGCAAGGTCTACTTGCTCTTCGGAGGCTCGGCGCAGCCGCATGCGGGGTAGGTGCAGCTGCCGCCGTTGGCCTGGACGTTCGCGCAGGTAGCTTTGTCCTGTCGTCGTTCCGTCAGCTCTCTATTCCGAGTCGTCTCGATACGAACCAGACGCGGTACTCACAGACATTGTGTGTGTGAGTGGAGGAGTGTAGGCGAGTACTGGGGATGTAAAGACACTGGGACGTCTTTTATACCTTCGCAGGGCGGAGAAGGACGTCGGCTCTGGAAGGTTGTACGCCTGGGTGTTTTGCTATGTTCAAGCCGTCATTGGACAAGCATCTAACCAATGACTTGAAGCTCATTGGCCGCGTCGTCCGTTGTTCCCGAGAAGTCGCGGATCTTAGAACATGGACATTGTAGCTCGATGGCGACTAACCAGGATGCTTCCGTTTGTGTGTCGTAAAGACCTCGGGATTCATACTGCCAGTGATGTCTTGGCGGCTGGGGTAGTACCGTCTCAGTCAGTCTGCATCCTGTGTCGGTAGATAAATATCCCGAACGCGGTCACCTGAGTGGTTGACGCGCCACCTCTGCCAGTACTGCAGCTGCGCCCTGGCACAGCATGCGAGTCAATGAACAAGGCCCTATACATAACATATGTGCATGGTTATATTCACACTCGAGCTCGCCCACTGGAGACAAACCGGCCTGTGCGGAGTGGCCGCGGGCTTTGCACGATGTCGTGCCACTGGCCAGACCCGAGCCGGCGCTGGGCGCCTATGATCTAATCACCCACCGTTGATCTTGACACTCACTGTACGACCGACCCAGCTTTGCTTTATTTCCATGGCTGACATTTGGCGCAGCGTGACGGTACGTTCGCAGGCTTGATATGAGGTCCAGACCTAGAGGCGGTACCCGGAGACACTGAAACTTGACTTTACAGAACGTTCAGCCCGTACCATGGAAGCGTTGGCTCCTCTTCCTCCTCACGTACCCTCTCCCGGGTACTGAGGTAGCAAGGGGTTTTCGCTTTGGAATCCCATGGGTTGTCAAGATATGCGCTCGTACCACCAGCACGGAAGCACATGCCCTTAGATTCCTTGAATCGACGCGTCTCGCTCTCCCGATCCCGCGACTCATCTTCGCGTTCGCAGAATGTGGCGCGACATACACAATCATGTCCCGCATCCCCGGAATCTCCTTGAAAGAGGTACGCGAACGGGGACTGCTTTCGCTCGAAGCCGAGACGAACATCCTTACGGAGGTCACAACCGTTTTGGACCAGATGCAGACCTTACGCCAGCCTCCCGGCGACGAGGGTAAAGTGATGATGAGCACGTCTGGACACGATTTGCCAGACCCCCGTTACTTCCACGAAACACGTTCAGGCCCGTTCCCCTCTGCGTTGCAGCTGTGGGTTCACTGCGCAAGCTACGATGACATCGAAGAGTTCAAGCAGGATATACCTCTTGCAGTCCAAGAGGCCGTGACCGCGGACCCCATCAGATTCGTGCATCCCGATCTTCGGATGTACAATGTCCTCATCCACGACAACCATGTCTCCGCTATCATAGACTGGGAAGATAGCGGTTGGCTACCATCGTCGTGGCAGGTGCACACGATGCGCCACATCCGGTTGGGGTGTAGGGGGTTTTGGTCTGAACACTGGCGGAAGCGGCATCGTTTCACGGACGAAGCTGAAGCGGCTTATGCAGCCTCGATGACATTCCTCACCAAGCTTCCTACCTGACGGGATCGACCGGCTGTGTGTTGTATGCTTGGAGCTCGTAGAGTTCGCGCTATTGAGAGCTACATCTATAACGTGGTGCCGAGCGTCCAGGGTGAATGTGTCCAAATCACGAAGTTCATCCCCACTAATCACCTCCTTATGCCAAACCTTGGCCAAAGTGTGACTGCCACTCAGCCCGTTAGTTCATTCCTCTTCCTTCTGTTCATAGAGACAATCCGGAGCATCAGTGATGTTCTGATGCTGTGTCCTTACGAGGACCACGCAAAACCACAACGAGTAGGTTTGATTGACTATTCAAGGAAGGTTTTCTCTCCGTTTGAGGTCACGGTGCGCCGCTGTGCTCAACGTACGTACTACGGGTGCAGGTTTCTCTTCAATGTTCACAGTATAAACACGCGGAGAACATGAGATCATCAAACAGACCATCGCCGTAGTGTGGCTACGATACACACTAAACGCAGTCACCCGCAGCTACAAACCACACACTGCTTGATCCGCTTGTCACCTAGCTCTGCTTTTCATGAACAGCAATCAGGTCCGCAACTGCTTGCGCCGCGAACGTGTCGGCCGCGCTTTCCCCTAGGAGTTGCGCACACCACGCCTGGACCGAATGCATCCAATACGGGCAGTATTGTCTCCATCCACAACCCATCCTCGCCACGACGGCCTTCGCATAGCGTTCCGATGTCGGCGTGGCCAACGACGACGGGATGCGCATGGTACTAGACTGTACCTGCCCCGTGTTCAGGTATGCGAAACGCACACTCGTCTGTGTGTCCCACACACGCTCGTCGGTGTCGAGTCCGCGAGCGAGTGCCTTCAGGAATGCTTTCGACCCCGCATAGACGGCCAATCGGGCCGGTGACAGCTCCCCTGTTTGGGATCCTATGAATTGGACCAGCACAGGACCGGTTCTCGAGGTGAGATGCAGTTGGGTAAGAAGGGTGTGGGTGACCATGAGGGGAAAGATCGCGTTGCGATTGATGATGTCCATGAGGTCTGTTTTGCTCAACCCGTTGATTCTGACGTGTAAAGTTGGAATTCAGATGTCCAAGCAAACACCAGAAGGAACGGGACGCACTTTTCCCTTGTCAGCGGCGAGCTGCCTACATTGTGGACAATGACGGTGATGTTCAAATCCTCGAACGGCGCGAGTATGCGTTCGAAGTCATGATCCGCATCAGAGGCGTCTGCGAAGAAGTATTTCACATCGCGTGCCCGAGCAGAGCCACGAATCTGGTCCACGACGTTGAGTAACTTCGCTTCGTTACGGCCGTGTAGAATCAGGTTGAAGCCTTGATTGTATAATTCTGCTGCAATGGCCTTTCCAATGCCATCAGATGCACCCGTAACGAGAGCGTACGCCGGTGGTCCGTGGAGGTACCGATGCACCGTGCTCGGTCGGAGGAAGTACAGCCAAATGAAGCTCAAAAGGCGATACAGTTGCAGGACGAGGGAAACGATGCCCACAACAGCTAGGATTTGGACAACACTGAGCATCGACGGAATGGGGGATTGTGTGAGACAAAGTGATGCATGCGAAGCTCAACAATATATACGTACGTCTATATATATAGCATCCGACGCGGACGACCTACATGAGCGGCCATTTTAGCCGTGATTACGACTGATGCGTATTGCTGCATACTTAAGCATTGCGGTAATTCCAGCTGCAGTACTGTATCAATGTATGCTCTTGTGAGTGATAGCAGCGCAACATTTCATAGTGTTGTAGACAGGTAGCTGACAGCGAACCTGAATGTCAACCCTTCTCATTACCTGTAACACGCAGCGGAGCGTCCCACGCAGCCTACATCCAACATGCTCAGCTAGGCCCTGCGACCCTCGCCATCTTTTTATCATGCCCCCTCTTCCGGTTATGGTTCGCCCGACTCGCTTTGTTCTTGTCCTTCCACGCCCTACCCCTTGCCGAGTCGCCCTGTCCACCACTGCTGCCACCTCCTCCACCTCCACCTTCACCACCGCCTCGGCCACCTCCACGGCCGCGTCCCCTCCCACCGCGCCCGCGTCCCCGTCCGCGCGGGCTTCCTCGGTGCGCCTCGTGTGAGGAGGATGAGGGGAGGGGACGGTTGCCCGTGAACTCGTGTTTGGCGAGGATCTTGTCTTTGTTGGGCTGTTCCGGCGAGAGATGCATGAGCGAGGTGGTGCGCAGTAAGCGTGAGGAGACACACATTTCGTTCCAGCATGATCTTCCATCCCTCGATCTGCTCGTCCGTCCAGCCTGCGTACACGTGTTAGATCTATGAGTGAGCAACAGACCACAGTAGCCCGATACCTGTTTGTTCCCTCAGCTCCGTCCGCGCCTTGCTCCTCCTCGTCTGCCCATCCCTCTCGAACAGTTTCTGGTCCCGGAGGTACGCCAACTCCAGCACCGTACCCGGCCTTCCCTTCCCTCCCTCCACCTCACCCTCACCCTCATCGCCATCCTCTCCATCCGACGCCGTCCCCTCTGGCTCGCTCTCGTCGCCATCCCGCACCTTCACCCCGCCGCCTTCGACGTCGTCCAGCTCCTCCTCAAACGCGACGACCTTACCCTTGCCCTTAGCGTTGTTACCTGCAGAGTATCCATATAGGTCCGCGTCGTCTTCCTCATCCTCCTCGTAGTTGGCCTCCTCCGCACGCCGCATGATGTCCGCCTTCATCTCCGCCACGAAGGAGCGGTCCTGAAGGACGGTCTCTGCCTCGTCCCTGCGCGTGTAGTGCCAAGCAAGGTCAGCGCAATCAAGGGACCTATTCAGCAGAATGGCGCACCGCTTCTTCCCCACACGCACGCTCTCCATATTTATCTTCTCCTCGTCGAAGACGTTGCGACGCTCGCGCGTATACGTGAACTCGCCTGGAGCCCTCTCCACCACGGGCATGCTCGGCGCAGCGCCGGCCGCCTCTGCTGCACGCATAGCGCCGCCCACTTCCTCCTGGCCCGGCGCCGTCCCTTCAAGCAACGCACCCAAGAGTCGTTCCGCGTCCCCTCGGTACGGATAGCTCTCGCTCGACAGCAAGAACCGCAGGTACGGCGCGGGCAGGTCGGGCAAGATCTCGAGCACCTGTGCGACGGCGGCCTCCAGCGCGCGGTCCACGCGCGGCTCCGCTGCGACCGCTTTCCCCTTTCCCTTGCCTTTGCCAGTGCCTGCAGCAGAGGGCCCACGTCCGCGCGCGTCGATAGCGGGCGGCGCCCCGGATGAGCGCAAGAGAAGCTTCAGCGCCCCCGGTCCCGACGAGCCCTCTCCCTGCGATGCATCAAGCGTGCGCAGAGAGGACTCGAGGAGCTCGCTGCGAGGGTCATCCAGGCTCTTCAGCGCTTCCTTGAGCGTACGCGAGAGGTCGTATGCGTGCTGGTAGTCCGAGACGAGCGGGCGGTCGAGGAAGGCTGTGGTCCCGGCCGGACGGAAAGGCGGGACATCGAGCAGACCGAAGATGACCTCGAAGGCGGGGTCAGCGGCTTGTCCTGGCTGGGCAGCGACGTCGGTGAGGAGTGCGCGGATGAGGAGATGGAAGCTGTCTATGAGGGCGACTTTGGTTTCGAGGAAGAGCCGTTCCCAGTCGTCCAATGGGGCGTCATGCGAAGAGCGTATATTGAGCCCGCCGTAGGAGTGTGCGATCGTCCCGAGGCCATTATCATACGCTCGCGCGAGTGCGATCATGAAGTGCTTGTCTTGCGCGAAGAGGCGAGTGAGGTCTGACGGCGCGGAGCGCAGGAGGGACAAGATGATGTGTGCAGCTTTGCGCAAGCCATATAACCCTTGCGCATTGCCGTCTGCAATAAGAGAAGTGAACGCAGGGATCGCTTCGTCCTTTACCTGAGACACGAGCGATGAAGTGCCATGAGCGAACGCCGTGGAGAAGAGGCCCCGGAAACGGGTCAGATTGGTTGAACCATAAGCCACGCTCAGATCCAGAAGCGTTTGCAGGCTAAGAGAACCCGAGGCAGCCATTCGCTCCGAAAGTAAGAAAACGCGTTGTCGTATCGTCTTCTCGACCGGAGACAAGTTCGAGAATACGTTTTGACCTTGGCTCTGGGATTGTTCCCAGATCAGCGAGTTGAGCACCAGCTGTGCAGCGTCCTTTGCGTAGGTGGCTAGAAATGTCTGAATGGAGGATTTGTGAGATTGCGCGGCCGGTAAAGCAAGGGTTTGCGCAAGACGAGAAGAGATAGTTTGATAGAGCGTCGCAGCCTGCGAGGGTGATAGGGCAGCCCTCGCCTTGCTGGATGGGTAGGGTGGGAGGGCCTCCACGGAGAGTGCCATGATCGTACAGGTGGGGGTGGAGTGAGGCGCAGCTGGTAGCTCGCCCGAAGTTGTGCGGCAGGAGGTCCGCAAGAGGCTGGTACTGTGGCAGACTGTAAGTTACAGAACTCGGAAAGCTGCAGCCACCGATATTCCCGGCCCGATCCGATCGTCGATCACGTCGCGTCGGGATCGGGGACTAGCGTCCGGCGCTCCGTCCACCATGTCTGCTTTGAAGCCTTGATGGGAGTACTGTATTATACAGTAGAAGTACAGTGCTAAAGTCACCAGTGTCACACTAGTCGCCGTCTGGCTCAGTGGCTGACTTGACCTATATAGATATGTGTTATAATGATAATGCTGCAGTAACATAGGTATAGTCACGAACAAATCCGGGTATCAACAAGTCAAGGAGAACGAGACTACTACAAGTTCTATGACAATGGTACAGATCCTCATATCTACTCATGGCGAACACGGACGCAACCTTCACACCCCTATCGTTCCGCGACAAACTACACCTTCATATCCTCCTCGAGGCTCAGCGACCGCCTGGACCGCCATGCCTCCTGCGTCCTCTCACGCTCCCGTCCCCTCAAGCCATCGACAGCCGCCCCCTCCGGTGGCTGTTCTTCATCCTCGTCCACAACCCTCTTTCTCCACATCCCCGAGCCTCTCCTCCACAGACGTGGACCTGCCCTCGCTTCGCCCGGGCTGCCGTCACGGTCTCGCTCTCGGTCTGCACCTTCATCACGCACGCCACCCTCCTCGCGGGCGAAGTACATGCTCCTCCTCCTCAGCACAGCAAACCTCTCGCCGGCCTGCGCCGGGTTAGCCGACCCCGCATTTTGGAAGTACGGCTTGTACGCCTCTGGTTGCTCCCGGCCCACTCTCCTGCGCGGGAGCGGAGGGCCAATTGGCCGCAGGACCTGCGGCTGAGAGGACGGCGATTCGGACTCGGACTGGCCATCGCCCTTCTTGACGCGCAACTTGCCCTCGACGTCGATAGTCCAGTGTGCAGGTTGCTCAGGCGTCCCGGCGTGGATGCTGGGCACGACTGACGTGGGTCGTGGCGGCGTGTTCTTCTCTCCCAGATGCAACTGCGCGACGAGCTTTGTGAGGGAAACCTGCCCGCCTGATGTGGGCGGTCGGATAGGGGTGCCGGTAGGATCTTGTAGATCCATTTCGGCGCATGGAATAGTCGGGA